AGAATTCCTATCTCGATTTTTTAATGTTAAAAAAGTCTAAAAAAAACAGACTGAAAACAACGTGATCCGCAAACTTGCATTAAACTGATTTTGTGCAACGTTTTTATAATTTCAGATTCGCTTTAGGTCAGTAAAAAGCACACTTCATGACACTATCCGATGCGCTCTACAACGTGACACTAATGGTTTTGTTCAGTTTCGAAAAAAATACTTGATCAGCGAAGTGTCGCGTTACGTGGACAAGCTGTTTATTACTTAGGGCAATTTAAAAGTAGTGTCGTCACTATCTTATTTCCTTATAATAATCTCAAAGAAATTTTCTTTTTTTATGCAGTGATAGAGAAAAGAATGCTCTATTTTTCTATGCTATTTGATCATACTTCAACTAATATTATAATAATAAAATTTCGATAAGATCTGTTTTATCTGCATGTGTCCTGGTAGCATGAACGCGAGAGAAGTATTTTTTGAATAACTTTTGATAGAAACAAGAGAGAGAGCTGCGGTTTTCACCGCTGACAAAAAGGGGATGGTGACGCATCAAATCGTGTATTACAGATTTTTCTAATATTGATTTCTAAAAACATTTTTATTCAATTTTCTAACTGTCGAAAAAATGTTTTTTTATGATAAAAGGAAAAAGAACAAAAGTGAACTTTTTTCGCAGAAATTGGTAGAAAATCGTATTAGAGAGTGGACTAGCATACATATTATTCATCTCAGCCTTCCGCAGTTTCCAGATCTTCGATTAGTGGTTTGAACCTGTACTTGATAATTGAAAATTCACTGTTAACACCTTACCAGATACGTTTGCTGTTAAAAAGGTAAATTGAAAACCTCAAAAAATAGGTCAGGAAACCCTGTCATATATGATTCGATGTATCATCATCTCCTCTTTCCAGCGGTGAAGACCGCAGCTCTCTCTCTTGTTTTTATCAAAAGTTATTCAAAAAATACTCATCCGTCTTTTTTTAAAATCAGCGTTCATGCTACCGCGACACATACAAACAAAACAGATCTTATCGAAATTTTATTATTATAATATTAGTTGAAGTATGATCAAATAGCATAGAAAAATAGAGCATTCTTTCCTGTATCACTACATCAAAAACGAAAATTTCCTTGAACTTACTATAAGGAAATAAGATAGTGACGACACCACTTTTGGATTGCCCTAAGTAAAATGTTATGATGTTGAAAATTCATGCCATTCATCCGATAGTGCTAAAAACAAAGCGGATAAGAAAAAGTGAGCGTCATTACAAACCCGATATTACATATGCCAAGACTATGGTAGATCGTTGAAAGTTGACACTAAAGCGAAAGATAAAGAGTGTGAAAAATGTAAGAAGTTATTCTCTCATGAATTCTATTTAGCATTGACGAAAAGCCAACTTCAACAAATGTTAAAACATGCCGGAATGTACGACATAATGCGAATCACAAGGAAGACAAACAGAAAAGAACTGAAAGACACATATTACGGCAAATTTCTAAGTTTTGAACCAGAAACTACTTTTACATTAACCTTAAATGCTGACGGTATTCAGAAGAACAAGGCCAATTCGACTACTGGTTTATGGCCTATTGTGTTAGTTCTGAATGAACTTCCATATCCGCAAAAATGTTATATCGAAAATGTTCTTCTTGCTGGAATTGTTCGTGCAAAGAAAAGTCCTAACAACAACGTTATTCAAGCATCCCTAAATCTTGTTGTTGATGAATTATTAGAACTGGAAGCTGGTGTTTCCTTTTATACTAAAGACACAAACAATACCAAAAAGTTAAATATGTAAGCTGAAATACGCGAACACTTTTAGATATCTGATGAACACTAAGTAAATCTCTATGAATGACTATTATTATTACTGAACTCAGTAACCGGAACACGCACTTGACCTATAGCAAAAGTTTGAAGTTCAAAAATATTAAAACTATTTATCTGAACAAGATATTGCAAATTAATGGCGCTTTTTCAAAAAACGAATAACCTAACGCAACAAAAATAAATCTAGCTATGGAGCCATTAACAGACAAATTGTAGAAAATATATATATTTCGGGTACGGTGCAAAGACCGAATCGCGCCAAACTTTTTGACCCGACCGGACCCGATCCGAAAATCGTTTAACTCAAACTTGATCTGACCCTACCCGAATTGACCCGAAATGACAAAAACTGACCAAAATTAACCAAACTTTCTCAAATTCTGATCGTTTCGGGTCAATTAGGGTCGGGTCCGGTTCGCGTCAAACAATTTTCGGGTCGGGTCAAAAATTTTGATCCGATTCGGTCTCTGGTACGCTGGCACTAACTGCTTCTTTATATCTTTCAGGCAGGTCTTTGTATTATATTGTATACAAATGATATTTATTAGTTTTATCAGCTATTTTTTGCATCAAATTATGATCAAATATCAATCAAAAATAGTCTTGTGGATTATTTTTAAAATTTCGATAAATTTGTATTCATACTAGATTCGTTTGAGTCAAACTTAAATATTTTTGGTTCGAATCGCCCCACCATCCATCTTCTCTCTTCCATCATTATGGTACATTTTGTCTTTGACTATTTGAATTTTCTCTTTATTTAAAATAACACTTGAATGTGTTGATGGCAATGCATGAGAATAAATTTTATCTGCCATTTGAAAAAAAATTAATGTCATTTCTAAATTATCCATGTGTTCATATGTCATGGCAATATTAGTAAGTGTATCTGCAATATCGAAATGATATTCTGTCAAAATGTTTCTCTTGAATTTCAAGGGCAAGTTTGAAATTTCTCATTGCATCGTCATATTTTTCTTGAAGTAAACAAGTGGGACCGATGTTAAAGTAGACGTGAGCGAATTCAAGATTATCATCATCATTATTGTACATTTTTTTTAAGTATTTAATGTTTTATTGTAATATGACAATGGTATTTCATAACCGCCTTTGTCATTGTATGCCAAACCCAAATTATTGTAATTGGTTGCTCGTATTTCCTCACAATTCACACTTCATTGAAAAAGTTTTAATACTGTTTCATGATAAAGAATTGCCAAAACATGTTTGCCTTCAGCATAAGCAACATTTCCAAGTTCTGTAAACGTAAGACATTTGGGAAAAAAAGACGGGCAACATCGTCTATTCATCTCAGTCATTTTCTACCTGTATAACGACAAGCAACTTTGATAGGATTTTTATAATCCATTTCAATTGCTTGACGTTCATAACATTTTTTAGCCTGATCATATTTGCCCATATTTTTTAATACAGCGCCTAATGAAGTTAGATCAGACATAATAAATTTTTTCTTCATAATCAGTTTATTTAAATCCAGTTGTGACGTTTCGTTGATCTCAGATTAACTTCATCAGACAAAAAGTACAAACTTTTAATTTTCTACTGCACACGACATATATATATATATTCATATATGGCACAAGTCTTTGTTCTATTTCTTCTCTTTAATAGTGATACAGAAACAAGACGGTAAGGTGACTAGTCCGGTTTTTTAACCTTTCTGTATCATTATTACCGTCTTGTTCCTAAGTCTTTGATTTTCGGTGTTTCTGAAAAGTTTCAGATTTTGATTTAATCTTCCTTTTAATCTGTTGTTGAGCTTTTTGAAGAACAGGATCCCAAGCTTCTGTGAGATCATCTCTCTTATTGACTGAAGCATTAATTTTACAGTATATAGTTTCTTTCAATTTTCTTCTACACCAATTCTTCTCATTATCAGTGGCAAAGGCGTTGTCTGTATTGAAGAGGCATTGATAATTATTTGCTTGATGATGTACCACTATTTCAGACTTATCGTCGTCATTACTAATCAAACGAAAGTGTTTTTTTCATTCTTTCTAGTAAACCTTTCTTCGTTTCACCATTGTATACTGCTGTCTTATCAAGCCTTCTCTTGAGTACTTCAATTCCGTTGACGTAAGGCAAAGTCATAGTGTGTTTCATTTCTTTAGAATCTGTTGTCTTCACTTTACCAAAATTTTCACATGATTCTGTAATCAGTTTGTCTATTTCCTTACGAGGATAGTTCGAATTGAGCAACATTTGTTCTAATTTTTGTATATCCTCCTTTTGTTCTTTTGCATCTTTCGATGTTTGTAAAATTCTATTCGTCATGTTCTTAACAATGTTTGATTTTGTTGATTTACTATGGGCAGACGCATAATTCAGAAATCTGCCAGAAGCTGTTGTTTTACGGAACCCTCTCACTTTAATTTTCATTTGATCATTATCATTCTGTTTACGGAGAGTTGTATCAAGAAATGAAATCTTATTATCGTGTTCAAACTCGTACGTAAATCTGATTTTACTTCTAATAATATTTAGTTTGTTTACATATTCCACAGACTATTTTAGTAACATTATTATTGAACATTGGGATTCACTTGATTCTGTTGAATATACAAAAGGAAATACTGTGGTTTGACTAAACGAGCAGTGGTTTCATCTGTTAAGTGTTGATAATGAAGTCTCAAAATCTCGATATATGGTACTTGCTTTTCATCATGAACTATGTGAGAATATCGTGAAACGACTTTGTTAGCTTGTTGTTTAATTGTTAATTTTACAGAAGAGAAATGAATGTCAAACAGTTGTATAATAGAACTAAATGATCGAAAGGATGGTACTCGGATGAATGTTAGATTGTTATTAAATGTTATTTCGATTTTCCTTGAAGAATATTGACAACGATTACCATAATATTGGCTTGCGCAGAGACATTGAAAGTCTTCTCGCGAATATAGTTCAAAAAACGGACAATATGATCCATCATTCTCACACAAAGAATCAGGTTTATTTGGATCGCACTTCAAACGACATGATGAACCAAATGAATGAAGTGAGCAAACACATGATTATTGTAGAAATAATGCATTATGTGAACAAGGACATGAATTGTCCAACATTTTTCATTTTTTTTTCATAAGAACAATGGTATGACTCAGTATCATTAATGTAATTCATTAGTGGATAGCAAATTTCATGACTTCGGCATAGTTTTTTTCTATTGCATACGTGGTACTCTCTATTATGTTGCAATTTAAATTTCCACACGCATAGTTTGACTGAGGAAACGAATATAAATCATATATCTGTTCAATCGGTAATTAATGTTAATTATTGTTGATATTAATCAAGCTAGTCCCTTCACCGCCTCTCCTTGTACGACAATATCCCACTTTCTATAGTACCTTCTGCCACTTATCAAGCATGAGAATTCTGCTCTATTTTTCTTAACTGAAATGGACGAATATTGATGACATAGTTCGAATACTTCGTATAATTCTTAAGCTTTCTCTAGTTCTTACTGTTTGTATAGTTCCTAATCTCTATCTCCATCGAAAATTCTGAAATCAACACAAAATTGAATTGAAAATTGATTGAAAATAAATTTTGTTTCAAATTGACAGTAGCATACTTTTTCAATATTTATATCGTCTACATTAATATGAATATGATCATCAAAATCGTTGTCCCAAACTGAATGTTATCACACAAAATTTTTTGTGTTAAAATTCAAGAATAGTTCATCCTTGCTATTGTGATATAAAGGATAAACTTGTAATAATAAATTATTTGATGCTATTACTAATATAATTTTATCAATGGGACTAAAATAATGTACATTTTTACATCTATAAAGAAATAGCATAATCTTGAAATTGTGTCGATTTGAAATAATGTAAAGTTGTAAATGTAACACGTTTTATAGTGCATCTATTATAAAATGATGGCATATATTTTTTCAAAAAATATTTTCCGCTGAAATTCGACCCTGGAGGACCAGCAGGCATAATGGAGGTGAGGGAGAATAGGGGTCGAATTTCGGTGGTTTCAATTGAACTTTTTTCAGAAGAATATAATGTATACTCATGGAGTTATAGAATTTACAAAAAGAGCATCATCCGAAAGTGAGTAAAGCGTGACCTCCATAGTAAATCATCCATAACGTCCGATTGGTTGGCGGGAGGTCTCGTTCGAAAGAGCGCTTCAAGGTGCATCTACCGACGTGCACGATACTCAATTTTTTTCTACTTTTTGTCCTCTATGTCAGAAAAAAAGAAACAGCAAAGAGGAAATTGTTAGTTTTACTGTACACGACACTTTTAAGATTGGTAATTATTACTGACCACCCAAGCAACTTGCCTATAGATAGCACTTTTGTATGACAGAAATCAGTTTTGCTTAAATTGAAATTCAGTGTGTTTAGATTAAACAAAGAAATTTGTGACGCATCATGTGTGACTCATGGACTCTGACAGAATCACAAAAATTGTTTCAAAGTGTGACGCTCTAAGTTGGTTGGCAGCCGTCCGCATTTGGTATTCGGTCGGATAAAAATAACCAGGTCATGAAGTCTCTGTTGGCCGAATTTCAAAGGAGGTTATAGTCAGTTTTTCTTGAAATAAGCCTTTTCGTAGCTTGAGAGCGAGTTACGATTCTTCGAGTTTCGACTATTATCCGTTTCAGAAGTCAAGACACTCGGTTGCTTTTTGAATAGCTTTTGGTACGAACAAGGTGAAGACCTGCGGTTTTTGCCATTCGAAAGAAGAGACTTCGATGCATGTTTTCATAACCAACATAATTTTCAGACGAGTTTTTTGAAATAGGTTTCCTAGGAGATCTTTGGAAAACTACGTCGTCTGTAAAGATTTTCCAATAGGATTGTATTGCTTTTTTCTTATGGACTGATAGGTCAGGGTGTTCTCTTTAAAATGGGAGTAAAGTGAGATCTTGATTTTTCACGGTTCGCGCGTTATATCGAATTTTCTACAAGGACTGGCACCC